TGACACCCCTGTTGTCAATTTTAGCCTTTTATTCACGATCGAATGGTGTCATACTGTTAGGAAATGATTTATCTTTCAAATAATGTATAATACATGGCATATGTTTGAATAAATATCATGTAATAATCATATTTAAACTTATGTTGTTGTTTTTTGCCCACCCTGTATATGCAGACTTTTGATTTTAATGAATGCAAATAATAATAAAACGGAACACATTGTGCAATATACATCCAGTTGAGTGATACTGTATCTAAAAAAGCTGTTCAAACATTTCACCATGTTTGAAATAAAAAAGACGAAGTTCCATGACTGATAAGTGATAACACACATTTGTTACATTATTAACTATACACGTCCATTCCCAATAGTTTGATCTTGCTTAGTTAAACGAGAACTTCATACACAAGACTCTGGCACTCAATGTTCCAAAAAACAATCGACTGCATTATACAGATCATGCAACCACGCATAGTCTCATTACTTAATCATCAGTTTTCATGTTCAGTTAGAATTATTCCTATGACTCGGGAAGGATCGAGACATGGTTGGTTGAACGCGATATGGGATATATCAGGGTGTTCTATTTCAGAGACAGATAGGTTTTATTAACAGTATAACATGTCAGGACAAGTGAAACTAAACAAATCAGTATTATGTCTTCTTACATTAATTGAATTGTATACTGACACTCAACTAGAATACGAATGGCAGTGTGTATAATATCAAGATGCTAACTCAGAGGGCTATTAAAGGCAGAATCAGATCTATAGTGGGTGACAAAATTGCAATATGTATAATCATGACCTACCAATGTATCCCCCAAGCTCAAATATAATATATCCCAAAAGATCCGTGATATATTATCAATTGGTGAAATTATATAAGCACAAATACCAACTGGAAAGGACCAAAAACTGTAAAGAAACCAAGTAAGAAAAGGAAACACGAAGTGTAAACCTGTCCTTAGAAAAATGGACCATACGTATCCCAAAAACCATGATCTAACGTGAAAAGAAATGATGTCTAACACCCCCCCCCCCCCCATCCAATTAAGGACCAATATCACAACCAAAACCAGAACCAAAACACCAAGTGACATTTCATTCATACTAAAGTCATTACAATACATTTACAAGAAAGAAAAAAAATTGACAGTCAATACTCATACTCTTACTTCAAAAATAGATAGTAGTACTCATAAAATACATCTTAAATGATGTGAGATAAACAAAATCCAGTCTCAGAGTCCATAGGTTATCAAAAGGGTCAACATCCATTCGCAAAGCAAATGTGAAGTTATTTAAGATTCAAAGTGCAAAACCAAAAACCAAATACAAGTGTAAAATTCTAAAATGTTTTGCGTAATAAATCAATGCAATAAGACCTGTTTCAAAGAAAATTTACTGCAGATTCATCCTTCTCTGATTTACTGTTATAGCTTTTATATATCTACATCAATGATGTTGCAGCATCTGTTAAAGCCCGTTAACGTTTATATCCAAGTAAATGATTGTATTTAATTTTCCACTCATTTAATTAGTTGGTGAATTTGATCTTGTTAGAAATTATCTAGATGATATAAAACACAAATTATAATATAATTGTTTTAGGGACTCTTATGTATCGCTTATGTTTTGGACGATCTTAAACCTAATATTTCGGTATCAACTTTTAAAAAAATCATTAAAACAATCATCCAAGTGAATGTATTTGTATTTAATCTTGCACTTATTTAATTTGGTGAATTTGATCTTTTTAGAAATTTTCAAGATGACATATCAAATAAAATATAATATACATGTAATTGCTTTAGAGACTGTTATGTATCGCTTATGTTTTGGACGATCTCATACGTAATATTTTAGTATACATGTTTAAACAATCATTAAGGTTTATATCCAAGTAAATGACTGTGTTTAATTTTACACTCATTAAATTAATTGGTGAATTTGATCTTGTTAGAAATAATCAAGATGATTTATCATAAAAAATATATTTTGAATGTTTTTCTTATATATTGCGTATGTTTTAGATGATCTTATACCTAATGTTCCTCATATACAAGTATAATATAGTGACGTGTCGCAAAAAGGTGGCGCATTTGTTTTTTAAGGGTATCGCATGAATGTAACTTTGATTCCCCGGATTATAAGATAATATTCTAATTAAAGTTATACATCATTTTAAAGCTGTTTCGATGAAGATTTTAGATCAACTACACTCCGTTCACATTTTTGCGCGTTCGTTTTTAAAAAAGAGTTTTTTACCAAAACATCTGGCAAATATCCCATGTTGACACGTTACATTTTGAATTATTTTTCGTCTTTAAACGCTCATAACTCAAACAATATATGACTATTATACTTATTTTTCGTCTTGATAAAGGTAGATGGAAGTTTTATTTTATAGGATGAATTTTAGTAAGCGTCCCATATTGTGACGTCATAGAGTCTGAAAAATAGAATCTGTTGACAGCGACCTTTTTTGCTCATTTTTTGGTACCTTCAACTTTTCAGGTGTACATTAAACAAAAAATGCGAGATCAATTTTTAATAAATCATACATGATTATTTTGCTCCCTAACTCTAGTTTATTAATAAATAGTTGATTTTGTTCACAAAACTATGTGTTTTCTGTTGTATGTGGAAAAGTGGAGGACGAAAGGTTTTCAAAATTCATTAAAATAGAGCTAATTTACGCCATTCGCCTGTTTTCAAGCACAACAACACGTATATTTGTTTCACCTAAAATATCAATTGATCCGTGTTTTATGATGCTCCTAGCCCATCAACAATATATATATGATATCAGAGTTATTCGTCTAAAATGTTTTGAGATATAGAGGTAAATGTGGAGGACGAAAGGATTTTCATGTGTGTACATTTTTCTCAAAACCGTCACATTCTATCATGTTAAAAGCGAGGATCCTCTGGATTACGCCACAAAATGTGTAACAATGCGTGCGCGAGCTTTTTGCGACACGTTAGTATATACGTTGGGTTCGATCTCAACTGGCAGCCCTTAGCATAGGATTTCATTCTGTGTTTTCATTCACTAAAATCTGACCTTATTTCTTCAACAATTCCCGATAATCAACTTAGTATTGACAAAGTAATGGTAACCAAAGTCATGGGTATTAGTTATACTCCTCAAAAAAAGTTAAGGACCTCATACTAGGTTTACATGTTAATCCCCATATTTGTTTAACGACTGTTTTCTAAGCGGGGAACAAAAGAAATCCCAATAAAGTAAATACATCTGTATCTTGATTCTATTCCCTATAAAGTCCGCAACGTTTCAATGTTATATCTCCATTACATTGGGTCAAAATTTGATGTCAAAATTGATGAATTTCATGAAATGTAACAAAAATGGCAGATCCCATGTTAAACAAATGGGGAATGGTGGCTTAGGGGCAACTCAGATTTTGGAATATCTATTCAGCAAAACATTTATTAAAAATACTTTCTAAGTAGAAAATTGAATGATCTTACATTTTACACGCTAAATGTCTCGCTTATGTTGTTAAAATTAGCGATACGGAGCGTTAAAGTAATTTTGACCACCTCACTGAACCACCTGTGTTATTTCGATAAGAGGTTCATTAAAAATTATTGAATTTGAAACCATTGACTTTTGTAAAGCCTGGACAATTAAATCATATTTTTGTCGAGTAGACAATTTAGCAAATTTAATTATCTCTTACAATCTCAATTTTGAGAGCAATCGGATGGATGGATCGTTCCTCATATGATTTATGGCAACCCAACCATTCCCCATTTGTTTAACATGGGATCTGCCATTTTTGTTAAATTTCATGAAATTCATCAATTTTGACATCAAATTTTGACCCAATGTAATGGAGATATAACATTGAAACGTTGCGGACTTTATAGTGAATAGAATCAAGATACGGATTTATTTTCTTTATTGGGATTTCTTTTGTTCCCCGCTTAGAAAACAGTCGTTAAACAAATATGGGGATTTACATGTAAACCTATGAGGTCCTAAACTTTTTTTGAGGAGTATAAAATGTATTAAAGCGATCTTACACCTTATGGATTGAAACTCTTATACCATATGTATTGAAGCTCTTATACCTTATGTATTGAAACTCTCATGCTTTTTATTGCGAAGCTAATTTTGTTCCTATTAGAGCCCCATTCAATAAAATGATTTGAGGTACTGTCTCTTTTCCTTTTCATATTGTCTGTAAGTAATTTTCAAAAATATTTCAGGATAAGTACTTTTCTATTCAGAACGAGAGAATACCTCAATTTAGGATACTGACTTTAATACGGTTACACATCACACTATAGAAAACTCATTTCCTTTACGACTCATGTACCCTGGAAAAATCACACAATAGAAAACACATTTAATGAACAACTCATACCCTGGAAACATCACACTATATATAGAAACTCATTTTATGAACAGCCCGTACCCTGGAAACATCACACTATAGAAAACTCATTTCATGAACAGCCAATACCCTGGAAACATCACACTATAGAAAACTCATTTCATGAACAACCCGTACCCTGGAAACATCACACTATAGAAAACACATTTAATGAACAACTCATACCCTGGAAACATCACACTATAGAAAACTCATTTCATGAACAACTCATACCCTGGAAACATCACACTTTAGAAAACTAATTTCATGAACAACCCATACCCTGGAAAAATCACACAATAGAAAACACATTTAATGAACAGCCCGTACCCTGGAAACATCACACTATAGAAAACTCATTTCATGAACAACTCCTAAGCTACACGAACGACTTATTTCCTTAAGTTCGCCCCAATAATTCATTTCTCGAACAACTCTCTTTAAATTAGTTTTCCAAAGAAGCTCCTTATTTTCAAATTGCCATTCAGTTCTACGGGGACATCCAAATGCCCAAGCTACATTATATGAAGTCCGCTGGGCAAAACTTACAATGAGTTAATGTGTTGCTCTTTAAAACAATCCTCTTTGAAAAATGTTTTGGCCATTTACAATTCTAATTACAAATTTCCCTTGCGTCCAGTCCCATGTCAAATCACTGCAGGGAACTGTTAATAGTCAGGTCTTAAGTTCGGCCCCTATTGTTGCAACAGCTCCCGTTGCCACAACAGCTCCAGTCGCCACAACAGCTCCAGTTGTTCCAGTTGCGGCAGCGGTTCCAGTTGCCACAGCAGCTCCAGTTGCCACAATAGCTCCAGATGCCACCACAGATTATACTGCTACATCTATCCCTCCGTCAGGAAGAGTACGCGCTAATGGGACCAATCAGCGAAATGGTGGTAAGGCCAAATCTAAGACTAACACAGGAGCTAATCGTAGAATGGCTTCTAAACCTATCCCACGTCAGTCAACAAGTAATGAACGCTTAACCCAAAGCCAACAATAGGACACATTGGTCGCAGGCTTTTGGAATGTTAGAGGATTTCCAACACAGCCCTATAGTGATAAGTACCAGACCTTGTGTGCCATGATTCGCTTTAACTCATTTGACATACTTGGAATAGCCGAGACTCACTTAATGAATAATGATGTTATTTCAGTTCCTGGTATGACATGGTTTGGGAACAATAGATCTAAGCATATAAGAGCCAGAATAGGCTCTGGTGGTGTTGGTTTCTTAGTGCGAAATTCTTTGATGAATCATTACGAAATAAGTATTTTGAATAGTGATATTGAAGGTATTTTATGGTTACAGTTCAAAGATAAGGTAAACATGCAAAAAACATTTTGTACTTGTGTCGCCTATTTGCCTCCAGAAGGTTGTGTGAGGAGTAACCCAGATCTATTTTTTGATAATCTTCTGACACATATTTATTTGTACCAAGATTTAGGTGAATATTTTATATGTACCGATTGTAACGCCAGAATTGGCAATGGTCTTGATTATATTGCAGGCATAGATAACTTAGGTGATAGAAATGTTGTTGATTTTAAACAAAACGCCTATGGTGCCAAATTGCTTGAATTTTTACAAGATGTAAATTGCTGTATTCTTAATGGGAGAAATTATGTGCATAACGATTTTACGTATATTTCGCCACAGGGCCATTCAGTTGTTGATTATTGTATTGTACCTGACATGTCTTTATCTTTGTTTACTGAGTTAAATGTATGTACCATGTCAAACTTGTGTAATTCAATGGGTATTGTTCCTGATGTACAATTGCCAGATCACTCGTTATTGTTTTGGAAGTTTAAAGTAAGACACAATGCGTCAACAAGTTCAGAAAATGTTTATAATCTGACTGACCAATCAGGTGGCTGTTCTAACCAAAATAGTGTGTATCATAAACACGACACCAGTAATATACCACGTGATTTCATGTTGACTGATGACGTGGTGCATGAAATCGACGGGTTACTTAATAGGATTACTCATGCTGACCAAACGCAACACGCATTGGATAGCATTTATGGCAATTATAGGAAACTATTATCCAATGAGATGGATGGAAAACTTGCTTACAAGGTCATAACACCAGGAGGCGGGAATTCGCGGAAATACTTTCGGCCAAATCGACCTTTTTGGACCGCTGAACTGAATGAACTTTGGATAGCATACAGTAACGCTGAGAAACTATGGCTCAAGGCACAACCGAACTCTGCCCAAAAACAACGTTTGAAACAGGACTACATATATAAGCGTAAGCAGTTTGACATTGTAAAGCGTCGTGAAAAACGCCATTATGTATATAAGCGGCATCAGGAAATGATACGTACTGTTACATCAGATCCGAGAACATTCTGGAAGAAAATAGGCCAAATTGGAGTTAGTGCAGAACGATCTAGTAACATTCCTATGGAAGTTTACGACAACAGCGGCAATATAATAACTGACACACAATTAGTATTGGATAAATGGAAGTCCGATTTTGAATCTTTATATACAGACAGCCACACCGACGAATTCGATAATGAATTTCACAAGGAAGCAAAGGAACACGTAGCTTGTAACACCGTACCTGTTGCTAATCCTAACATAGACAACAGTCTTCTCAACACTGACATTTCAGCTAGTGAAATAGAGGCTGCTTTTCTTGCAGCCAAGCTGGGAAAGGCCGCAAGCCTCGATAGGATTCCCATGGAAGTCCTACTTAACGAACAGTCAATGCGGTTCTTTACATCACTATTTAACTTTTGCTTTAAGAATAACGTAGTGCCCACCGAGTGGAACAACTGTATAGTTCATCCTATTTCGAAAGGAGCCAGTACTGACCCACGTGATCCGTCAACATTTCGTGGAATAACTGTTACTTCTGCTGTTTGTAAACTTTACAGCTGGATCTTAAACACACGCTTAACTAGATTCTGTACAGATAACAACCTTATCCACGACGAACAAAATGGATTTATGAAGGGGAAAAGCTGTCAGGATCACATCTATGCACTTTCATCAGTTATCGACCATAGGATTAAGTCTAAACAGAGCACATTTGTGTGCTTCGTGGACGCAATGAAAGCCTACGACAAAATCGACAGGCATTTGCTCTGGTATAAACTCAGTCATATCGGAATATCTGGACGATTCATGGGCGCACTCCAAGCCATGTACAAGGACGTTAAAAGCTGTGTAAATGTAAATGGACATCTTACCGACCCACTGCAGGTGAATTCCGGCCTAAAACAGGGCTGTTTGACATCTTGCTTGCTGTTCAACTTGTATATAAACGATCTTATTGACGATATAAAATCACTGAATCTTGGAGTTGACGTTAGTATGTATCCAACAGACTGACTAGAAGTCAGTCTGTTATGATGTACTACTTTCCTGTGGAAATTGCAGTGAAATTTTTTGCACAAAATTATCAATTAGAGGAACCATTTTTTCAATAAAATAAACATTACAAAATTTCAATTAAATAGTAAGGTACAATTAAATGCAATAAAAAGTAACACAGCATATTGTCAAATGGAAATAAAGCTAGTTGAAGTAACAAATTGCAAATTAATTTTACCCAATCGGCCATTTTGAATAGCACTTCCTATGTAAACAAATATCTATGATAACCAAACTTGAACATAGGTGCCTTATAGTCTGAATATAATTCAGACTAAATAGGATATAGTCTAGAGTTGACGTCAACGGTGAAAATATCTCTATCCTCGTGTACGCAGACGATATTGCTCTCATAGGTGACTCTGAACAGGCAATACAAAGTATGTTAAATGTACTTCACGCTTGGTGCTTCAAATGGAGAATGTCATTGAACACCTCAAAAACCAACGTGGTCCACTTCCGTCCAAGATCAGTGCCTTTAAGTAACTTCAAATTCAAATACAACGGCAGTGATATCGAAGTTAAACCATCGTATAAATACCTTGGCCTATGTTTTAACGAGCACATGGATACCACCTTGATCGCGAAATCAATTGCACACTCTGCCAGCCGTGCATTGGGACTTTTAACAGCGAAATATAAAGCATTTGGAGGTCTCCCTTATAAGTGTTTTACCAGATTGTATGAATGCCTTGTGAGACCAATCCTCGAATACGGCTCGGAAATATGGGGACTTAAACAACATGCATGCATTAACGCGGTATTCCACAGAGCGTGCAGAATATTCCTCGGAGTTGGAAAGTATACCCCAAACCTTGCTGTACGCGCAGAAATGGGCTGGTGTTCTCCATACGAGCGGCAGATACTTGTAGCAACTCGATACAAAGATCGTTGTGAAGCCCTGGAGCCCAGTAGATTAACACGACGTATTTACAACTGGAATCGAGATCATGGCTCGCTTAGGATTAAGAATTGGTACTACAACCTTCACCACATCTTAACAAATGATCTGTCACTTTCCATTGACTCTCCTATTGCATTGATAGCTGCAGAACTAAAGGAAAATGCCTTCCGAAACTGGCATGACACCATCTGGAATGACGGCAGACGTCCAGAAGGCCAGGGCAACAAATTAAGAACCTACAGAACGTTCAAGCATGATCTACGTACTGAGCCTTATCTCACATCTCATCTTGCCATGCAGGATCGGAAAGCGCTAGCCTCTGTGAGGTGTGGCGTAGCTCCTCTGCGAATAGAAACTGGACGGTATGAACGTTTGTCAGTCCCGGAAAGACTTTGTACTCTTTGTAATGCCAATGCCATAGAGGATGAACATCATTTTTTGTTAAAATGTCAATTTTACTCCAATTCCAGAAATGATTTGTTTTCAAAGGTAGCAAATAAAATTCCAGGCTTTCAGGAATTTTCTGGCAATGATAAATTCAATACATTGATGTCCGATGATAGGATTTTTATACATGTATATATGTATATGTGGCAAAAGCCTGTGGCCAAATGCTGAAGATTAGGGAACATCACCTGTTTAGGTAATGTCCCCAGTGTCCTATAGGCCGTTATCGGTCTGGGGTTAATTGTATAATTGTATATTTTAGTGATATTTTATACATGATGTAATTGTTTTATACATGTATTTATTATATAACCCATGACACTTTAATAAAATTTTACAATACAATACAATACAATTGACATTCTTCTTAGAATTTCTGACCATTTATAGTGTAGACTAAAACAAACAATTTATAAAATATAAATGACATGACTTTGTGTATTTATGTGTAAATAGAAAGGCATAATTCAGGTCCGGATTAACAATGGTGTAGATGGCCGCTCATGTTATATGATGTCAATGTGATGTCCATGTTCATATCTTTAATACAGTGTGTCCCAAAAAAAGGAAACCAGCAATAGATTGCTTATTTCTCAAATATGAATAATAATAGGAAAATTTCACAACTACCATCTGATAGGTTATGATGTCCTCTTTCTTATGATACCAAAGTTGTCTATTTTCCTTCACGGATGACTGAGTTCTAAGAGATTTAAGTGACCATGTTAGAAATTGGTTTGTGCCACTTTTTCTGTCATGAATGGCTGAACAATGAGGGATTAAAATGGCTATGCAAGATCATGTCCTATTCGAAATACACATTTCTGAACAAGCATTTAACATAGCAAGTTCATGCAGCTGACCCAAGATCAAAGAGTATTCGTAGTAGGTGAGTGGCTCAGAAGTGGAAGCCTTCAGCAGGTTGCTGATCAGTTTAGAGTACGCTTCCCAGATAGAAATGTACCTGGTAAGTCGACAATCTGGAAGAATATCAAGAAGTATCAGAGAGAAGGAACAAGTCCCAATCTCAACAAGGGACGTTCTGGAAGAAGAAGAACAGCTCGGTCTGATGATCCAAGAGCCAGGATTGTCGCAGCAGTGGAGGATCTAAGGGGACAGAGAGACATCATCAGGGATGCAGTACGTGCGATGAGATCAAGGGCAGACTTTTGCATTAAAAGGAATGGGGGTCATGTTGAAGGACACTGGGGTTAAAACAACTTTGAATGGACATTGGGATTTAAAAGGGGTGTTAAATATGATATGTGTAATTTTGATTGGAATAAATGAGTAAAAGAGTGATATCCTGATGTTTGTTGTTGCTTATCACTTTGTTATGATGGTGAAATTGACTTGGCTGAAAGTGGTACAAACTCATTTCTGACATGGTCACTTAAATCCCTTATAACTGAGTCATCTGTGAAGGAAAATATACAACTTTGGTATCATAAGAAAGAGGACATCATAATCTATCAGATGGTAGCTGTGAAATTTTCCTATCATTATTCATATTTGAGAAATAAGCAATCTATTGCTGGTTTCCTTTTTTT